AAAAAAAAAAAAAAAAAAATTTACATATGGTAAAGGGCAAAAATTTTAAGTGTACTGGTTGGTGATTTTTTTTTTCTTTTTTTTCTCTTTTGAGACAGAGTACCCAGACTGGAGTGTAGTGGCATGATCATGGCTCACTTGATCAAGCCTCGACTTCCTGGGCTCAAGTGATCCTCACACCTCAGCCCCTCAGGTTGCAGGGACCACAAGCACACACCACCACACCTGGCTAATTTTATTTGTTTTTTGTAGAGACAAGGTCTCTCTCATGTTGCCCAGGCAGGTCTCAAACTCCTGGGCTTAAGTGATCCCTCCGCCTCAGCTTCCCAAAGTGTTAGGATGACAGGTGTGAGCCACCATGCCTGGCCACTGGTTTGTGAATTTTGACAAATGTGTATGTCTGTTTAACTCAAACCCCTATCAAAATATACATGTTATTACCCCATAAAATGTCTTCATTTTTTTTCCTATTCTCTCTTTCTTTCTTTTTTTTTTTTGAGACGGAGTCTTGCTCTGTCACCCAGGCTGGAGTGCAATTGCCCGATCTCGGCTCACTGCAAGCTCCGCCTCACGGGTTTACGCCATTCTCCTGCCTCCGCCTCCCCAGCAGCTGGGACTACAGGCGCACACCGCCACGCCGGCTAATTTTTTTGTATTTTTAGTAGAAACGGGGTTTCACCATGTTAGCCAGGATGGTCTCGATCTCCTGACCTCGTGATCCGTCTGCCTCGGCCTCCCAAAGTGCTGGGTTTACAGGCGTGAGCCACTGCGCCTGGCCCTATTCTTACTTTCAAGACTGTTTCTAAAGTCTACTTCTCAAGAGTTGGATTATATGATGTATTAGGTAAGAAAGTGCCCATCTCTTTTTAGGTGTTTACTAACCGCTACTACTATTACTAGTGAGTTAAAAGCAATAAACAAAACGACTGTTTAGAATGCAATCATCCCTCAGTATCTGGGGGGGATTGATTCTAGGACCTACTCCAGTACTAAAATTAGTAGATGCTTAAATCCTTATACTGTGTAAAAATGGCATTGTTTTTCCATATTACCCATGCAATCCTCCTGTATACTTTAAATCATCTCTAGATTACTTATAATACCTAGTACAATGTAAATGCTATATGAATAGCTGTTATACTGTATTATTTGGTTTATTTAGTTATCTATTTCAGATGGATTCTCGCTCTATCGCCCAGGCCTGAGTGTAGTGGCGCTGTCTCAGCTCACTGCATTTTCTGCCTCACGGGTTCAAGCGATTCTGCCTCAGCCTCCGGAGTAGCTGGGACTACAGCCACATGCCACATGCCTGGCTGATTTTTTTTTTTTTTTTTTTTTTGTATTTTTAGTGGAGACGGGGTTTCACCATGCTGGCTAGGCTGGTCTCGAACTCCTGACCTCGTGATCTGCCCACCTCGGCCTCGGACTGCAGGCATGAGCCACTGCACCCAGCCTATTTTATTTTCTTTTATTTAAATTTTATTTTTTATTTTAAAGGAATAAAGACGAGGTCTTGCTGTTTTACCTAGGCTGGTCTTAAACTCTTGGCCTCAAGGATTCTTCCTGTTTTGGCTTAAAGTGCTGGGATTACAGGTGTGAGCGCTCTTACCCTGCCTTTCTGTATTATTTTAAATTGTTTCTTTCCCGAATGTTTTCTTTTCTTTTTTCTTTTTTTGACACCGAGTCTCTCCCTGTCACCCAGGCTGGAGTGCAGTGGTGTGATCTCGGCTCACTGCAACCTCTTGCCTTCTGGGTTCAAGAGATTCTCCCACCTCAGCCCCCCAAGTAGCTGGGACTACAGGTGCTTACTACCATGCCCTGGCTAATTTTTGTATTTTTTAATAGAGACTGGGTTTTGCTATGTTGGCCAGGAGGCAGGTCTTGAACTCCTGACCTCAAGTGATCTGCCTGCCTCAGCCTTCCAAAGTGCTGGGATGACAGGTGTGAGCCATTGGGCCTGGTCCTAAATATTTTTGATCTACTTCTGGTTGAATCCATGGATACAGAGGGATGAGTATGTCTCTAAAAAGGGTAACTTCATTTGTTTTTGGAAAAATAATTCTATAGGTAGATTTTTGCAATAAAGGGCAATAATTTCAAGCTGTCATGAACATTTTAGGGATTGAATAAAGAGCTCTTGTGACCTTAAGACATTTTTCATAAGATAGTATGTTTGTATTCTTCTTACATATACATGTAAAGCCTCTTCAGTTGTCCCTGGAGAGTTCCCATAACACAGTGAAAAAGACGTACCGCTATTACATTTACCAGTTCCTTATTTATTGTTTTAGGTGCTGCCCATATTCTATACCAACTTTGTATTCTCCAAGTAGAAGGAAGTTCTCTTACCTTGTAGTTTCAGCAATGAGCATATTTTTCAGTTTATAATAAGTGCATATGTACATTTGCTTCTCTATATAATGGCGAGAACTGTTATAGCTCGTGAATGTTGCCTTTGTTTCTCTTCATGTGATGGTGAGAAATGTGTAACCCATGCCAGTATTTCAGGAGAAGTCATTAATAAGACATTGGCTAGAGCAAGGGGGCTCACACCTGTAATCTCACACTTTGGGAGGCTATGGCGAGAGGACTGCTTGAGGCCAGGAGTTCAAGAGACCAGCATAGGCAATATAGTGAGACCCCCCATCTCTACAAAAAATTAAAAAATTAGCCAGACTTGGTGGCATACATCCGTAATCCCAGCTAGTCGGGAGGGTGAGGCAGGAGGATCCCTTGAGCCCCAGAGTTTGAGGCTGCAGTAAGCTATGATTGTGCCACTGTACTCCAGGCTGGGCAATAGAGTAAGACCCTGTCTCAGGACACCTCCCTCCCCTGAAAAAAAAACCCAAGAACTAATAGTTTTTACATATAATATTGAAAAGAAATGAAAATAAAAAGAAAAGGTGATTTGTCTGGCTGTACAGAGGCGGAATGTTTTATTGAGACATAAAAAACAGGCCGAGTGCGGTGGCTCATGCCTGTAATCCCAACACTTTGGGAAGCTGAGGTGGGCAAATCTCGAGGTCAGGAGTTCGAGACCAGCCTGGCCAACATGGTGAAACCCCATCTCTACTGGGGTTTCAATACAAAATACAAAAAATTAGCTGGGCGTGCTGGTGTTCGCCTATAGTCCCAGCTACTCAGGAAGCTGAGGCAGGAGAATCTCTTGAACCCGGGAAGCAGAGGTTACAGTGAGCCGAGATTGCACCATTGCCCGGGTGACGGTGCCAGATTCTGTCTCAAAAAAAAGAAAAGAGATGAAAAACATAAGGGTATGGAGAGAATTATTCCTTTGATGATAGTTTCTAGCCAAGTTATTGTTTTTTTTTATTTTTATTTTTTCTGAGACAGAGTCTTGCTCTGTTGATCAGGCTGGAGTGCAGTGGCGCCATCTCGGCTCACTGCAACTTCTGCCTCCTAGATTCAAGAGATCTCTTACCTCAGCCTCCCAGGTAGTTGGGATTAAGGCGCCCGCCACCACGCCCAGGTAATTTTTGTATTTTTAGTAGAGATGGGATTTCACTATGTTGGCTAGGCTGGTCTCAAACTCCTGACCTCAGGTGATCCGCCCGCTTCGGCCTCTGAAAGTGCTGGGATTACAGGGGTTAGCCACTGTGCCCAGCCTCTAGTTAAGTTATTAATATGTTTTTAATATATGTAGGAGATTTTAAAACTATATTGCTTTGAATATTTAATAGTTGGTAACTAGCCTTATGAGGAGCTAATCTTTAAATGATTACTTTTAACAAAACAACAGAGTTCGGACCTTTTAATTAAAATGTTTAAAATGATGATTGAATAGTTAAAAACCCTGTGATACCAAAGTTAAAAGATAAAAAATCAAATCAACCCTGTCAGCCATTTGCTAAAGCTACCTCGTTCTCCCTAGAAGCCAAAGAGTGTTTTAAATTTTTTCTGTTACTGTCATCTTCTAACAATGTTTTTTCTTCCTAAAAAGGAATCCAGAACACTGGCTGAAATTGCAAAAGCAGAGCTGGATGGCACTATTTTGAAGAGCAGACCTCTACGAATTCGCTTTGCTACGCATGGAGCTGCCTTAACTGTCAAGAACCTTTCTCCAGTTGTTTCCAATGAGCTGCTAGAGCAAGCATTTTCTCAGTTTGGTCCTGTAGAGAAAGCTGTTGTGGTTGTGGATGATCGCGGTAGAGCTACGGGAAAAGGTTTTGTAGAATTTGCAGCAAAACCTCCTGCACGAAAGGCTCTGGAAAGATGTGGTGATGGGGCATTCTTGCTAACAACGTAAGTTTTAAATATCTTGTCCTTCTTCTATCCAGTTACATATGGGCTTCTCTTTGTTCTGGAATTCTGTCTTTCCTTGCAGTTGATACTAGCATATGGTAAGTAGGTGTTGAGTAAATATTCAGTGAATACAAATAAGAAATTTTTGTGTACTTGTAGGAGTCAAGAGTCATCTACTTTCTTCAAACTTCAGAGTTTAAATCTCAGCAGTGTTTTGTATTATGATTTCATTTAACTTACTGAACATATATATACAAAGTAAAATCTATGAAGTTAAGATAATCCTTTCAGAAACTGTTATCAGCTTTACTGACATCTAATTTACCTTCATAAAAAGCACCTCAGGGGTGCGGTGGCTCAAGCCCCAGACTTTCAGCGGGTAGATCACCTCAGGTCAGGAGTTCATGACCAGCCTGGCCAACATGGCACGAAACCCCGACTCTACTAAAAATACAAAAATTAGCTGGGCGTGGTGATGTGCGCCTGTAGTCCCAGCTACTGGGGAGGCTGAGGCTCGAGAATCACTTGACTCTGGGAGTCGGAGGTTGCAGTGAGCTGAGATTGTGCCACTGCACTCCTGCCTGGGTGACAGACTGTCTCAAAAAAACAAAACAAAACAAAACAAAACAAAAACCTCATCTCTACTAAAAATACAAAAATTAATTGGGCGTGGTGACACATCCCTGTAATCCCACCTACTCAGGAGGCTGAGGCACAAGAATTGCTTGAACCTTGGAGGCAGAGGTTGCAGTGATCCCAGATCGTGCCACTGCACTCCAGCCTGGGTGACTGAGTGACCTTGTCTCAAAAAAAATAGTACCTTGGGCCAGGCTCGGTGGCTCACGCCTGTAATCCTAGCATTCTGGGAGGCCGAGGCAGGTGGATTGCCTGAGCTCAAGAGTTTGAGACCAGCCTGGGCAAATGGCGAAACCCTGTCTCTATTAAAAATATGAAAAATTAGCTGGGCTTGGTGGTGTGTGCCTGTAAGCACAGCTACTTGGGAGGGTGAGTCACCAGAATTGGTTGGACCTGGGGGACGGAGGTTGCAGTGAGTTCAGATTGTGTCATTGCACTCCAGACTGGGCGACAGAGCAAGACTCTGCCTAAAAACAACAACAACAACAACAACATAAAAACATCTTGGGGGCTGCATGGTGGAGTGCACAGTAGTCTCAGCTATTTGCCCTGTTGTCCCAGCTGTGCAGGAGGCTGAGATGGGAGGATCACTTGAGCCTAGGAGGTCAAGGTTGCAATGAGACCCTGTCTCTATTTAAAAAGAAAATTAAAAAAATAATAGTAATAAAATAATTAAAAAAAAATTCTGTTGTAGAGCTCAATGAGGTGGTTTTTTTTTGGTTTTTGTTTTTTTGGTTTTTTTGGGAGATGAGTCTTACTCTGTTGCCCAGGCTGGAGTGCAGTGGCAATCTCGACGAACTGTAACCTCTCCCACGTTCAAGCAATTCTCCTTCCTCAGCCTTCCGAGTAGCTGGGATTACAGGCGTAAGCCACTGTGTCTGACTAATTTTTATATTTTTAGTAGAGACGGGGTTTCACCATGTTGGGCAGGCTGGTCTGGAACTCCTGACCTCAGGTGATCCGCCCACCTTGGCCTCCCAAAGTGCTGGGATTACATACATGAGCCACCATGCCTGTCCTGTATTTTTGTAGAGACTGGATTTCAGCACGTTGGCCAGGCTGGTCTGGAACTCCTGACCTTAAGTAATCCACCTGCCTGGGCCTCCCCAAGTGCTGGGATTACAGGCATGAGCCACTTCGCCTGGCTGAGCTCAATGAGTTTTAACAAACATATGTACTCATGTAACGCACTGCCATAGTAAAAATACAGAACACTTCCATTACCCCACAGAAGTTCTCTTGTGCCCTTTTACGGTTATTTTGTACTCTACCTGCCTTAGATAGCTATTTCTGTTACTATAAATACGTTTTGTGTTTTCTAATATTAAGTGAAATCATATAGTATGTATTCTTCTGTGTCTGGCTTCTCTTGCTTAGCATGTGTTTATGAGATTTCATTCATATCTTCGTGTGTATAGTATTTTGTTCCTTTTTATGGCTGAGTCGTATTCCATGGTATGGACATAACTGTGTTTTGTCCGTGATATATGGATGGATATTTGAGTTGCTTACAACTACTGGCCATTGTGAATAAAGCTACTATGAGTATTTGTTTACAAGGCTTCTTGTAAATACTAGGCTTTCATGTGACTTAGGTAAATATTTAGGGGTAAATTCTGTATGTTTAACTTTATAAGAAACTGCCAAGCTCTTTTCCATAGTGGTGTACCATTTTACATTCCTACCAGCAATGAGTGAGTTACTTCTAGTTGCTCCACATTTTACCCACACTTGGTGTTTTTATTTTTTATTTTTATTTTATTTTATTATTGTTATTTTTTGAGACGGAGTTTTCGCTCTTGTTGCCCAGGCTGGAGTGCAATGGCGCCATCTCAGCTCACTGCAACCTCCGCCTCCTGGGTTCAAGCAATTCTCCTGCCTCAGCCTCCCAAATAGCTGGGATTACAGGCATGTGCCACCATGCCTGGCTAATTTTGTATTTTTAGTAAGACGGGGTTTCTACATGTTCGTCAGGGTTATCTTGAACTCTGGACTTCAGTTTGGCCTCCCAAAGTGCTGGGATTACAGGCGTGAGCCACCGCGCCTGGCCTTATTATTATTACTATTTTGAGATGAAGTCTTGCTCTGTCATCCAGGCTGGAGTGCAGTGGAGCAATCTCGGCTCACTGCAGCCTCTGCCTTCCGGGTTCAGGTGATTCTTCTGCCTCAACCTCCCGAGTAGCTAGGACTATAGGCGCCTGCTACCACGCCCGGCTAATTTTTGTAATTTTGGTAGAGATGAGGTTTCACCAAGTTGGCCAGGATGGTCTCCATCTCTTGAGCTCTTGATCCGCCCATCTTGGCCTCCCAGAGTGCTGGGATTACAGGTCTGAGGCAGTGTGCCTGGCCTATTTTTAATTTTTTAATTTTTTTTAATTTTAGTTTTTTTCCTTTTTTTTTTTTTTTTTTGAGATGGAGCCTCACTGTTGCGCAGGCTGGAGTGTAGTGACGTGACCTCGGCTCACTGCAACCTCTGCCTCCAGGTTCAAGCAGTTCTCTGCCTCAGCCTCCCGAGTAGCTGGGATCACAGGTGCCTGCCACCACGCCCAGCTAATTTTTGTATTTTTAGTAGAGACAGGGTTTCACCATCTCGGTCAGGCTGGTCTTGAACTCCTGACCTCCTGATCCACCCGCTTGGCCTCCCACAGTGCTGGGATTACAGGCATGAGCCACCGTGCCCAGCCTATCTTTAATATTTTGTTAATTTGTTTGTTGAGACAGAGTCTCCATGTGTCGCCCAGGCTAGAGTGCAGTGATTCCATCTCGGCTCACTATAATCTCTGCCTCCTGAGTTCAAGTGATAATTGTGCCTCAGCCTCCTGAGTAGCTGGGACTACAGGCGTGCACCACTATGCCTGGCTAAGTTTTTTTTTTTTTTGCAGTAGAGATGGGGTTTCGCCATGTTGGCTAGACTGGTCAGGAACTCCTGGCCTCAAGTGATCCACCTGCTTCAGTCTCCCTGAGTGCTGGGATTACAGGTGTGAGCCACTGTGCCCAGTTGCACTTGGTGCTTTTTAGACTTAGATATTCTAGTTAGTTTAGCACAATCTCATCATGATTTAAATTTTAGTTTCCTCTTGACTAATGATGAGCATCTTTTCATGTGCTTTTTGGCCAATTATATATCTTTCCTGAAATATCTAAAATATTTTTGTCCATTTTTTTTAGATGTCCCCCTTGTTCTTTTTTTTTTTTTCTGAGACAGAGTCTCGCTCTGTCGCCCAGGCTGGAGTGCAGTGGCACGATCTCGGCTCACTGCAAGGTCTGCCTCCCAGGTTCACGCCATTCTCCTGCCTAATCCTCCCAAATAGCTGGGACTACAGACACCAGTCACCATGTCTGGCTAATTTTTTTTGTATTTTTAGTAGAGACAGGGTTTCACCGTGTTAGCCAGGATGGTCTTGATCTCCTGACCTTTTGATCCGCCCACCTCAGCCTCCCAAAGTGCTGGGATTACAGGTGTGAGCCACTGCACCCGGCCCCTCTTTGTTCATTTTTAATTGGGCAGATTGTCTTCTTACTGAATTGTCAAATCTAGGTATGTCTGTATTATAAATCTTCCTCCCAGTCTGTGGCTTGTTTTTAAATTTTCTTTTCTTTTTATTTATTTATTTTTTTGGGGACACGGTCTTGCTCTGTCACTCAGGCTGAAGTGCAGTGGAGTGATCTCGGCTTACTGCAGCCTTGACCTCCTGGGCTCAAATGATTCTCCTTCCTTAGCCTGCTGAGTAGCTACTACTGCAGGCATGCGCCACCACGCCTGGTTAATTTTTTCATTTTTTTTTTTAAAGTAGATACGAGGTCTTGCTGTGTTGCCCAGACTGGTCCCTAACTCCTGAGCTTAAACTATCCTCCTGTCTTAGCCTCCCAAAGTGCTGGAATTACAGGTGTGAGCCATTGCATCTGTGAAATGTTTTAACTTTAACAGTGACCCTCAAAGAGCAGATGTTCTTATGTTTTGTGAAGTCCAAATTTTGTCAATTTTTTTTTCTTGTATGGTTTGTTCTGTGTCCTTGTATGATCTTTGCCTAAGATTGCAAAACTTTTCTTAATGTTTTCTTGAGAAATTTTATAGCTTTTACATTTATACGTTTTGAGTGTAACGTAAAAATCCTTTTTATTGTGCAGGTCTCCAGTTGTTCGGCACCATTAATTGAAAAGATTTATGATTTCCCCTTTGTTACCCTGTTACCCTTGCATCTTTATTTAAAAAACCTGGGAAAAAAATCTGTACTTTTTTGGTTTCATTGACCAGTTTGTCAGTTCCAAAATAGTACTTGCTTAATTACCATATTTACCCTAAGCTTTGAAATCAGATTATAATCATCCAATTTTATTTTTTTAGGTATTTAGGTTCTTTGTAT